AGCCCAGGCTGGTCTCAAACTTGCAATGATCCTCCTGCCTCAGCCTCCCACTGAGTGCTGGGATTACAGGCGTGTGCCACCATGCCTGGTGTCATAATTTTCTTTATCTCTTTCCCTTTTCTCTTCTCTGAACATCTAAATCTAACCTAGCCTTCCAGGTCACATAAGGCACACTCATAAAGGTATACGGGATGCTCCCCCAGCGCTGCCACCTGAGCTGAGAGCTGGGCGAGCTAGCTGGCATGAGTGTGGAGGGAAAGTCATGCCGTGTCCTCTCCCTCCCCCCAGGGGACAGGGTCTGGGCTGCACAATCTAAACTAGTAGGAAGTGGGCACGCTCTGCACCCCTTCCAACTCTAACCAGCCGTGCTGTGGTTCCGATGCCAGCATCCCCCACTGCTGTGCCCTCGTCCAGTGAGGTGATGATGTGTAAGGCTGACACAAGGCTGGGGGTCAGAGGAGCTTTATGGTGCTTTAAAATACTGGGGCAAAATAACAAATAAAAGCCAGCACTTATGCCCACAGGGTCTCACCTTCCTGGCACTCGCTACCCACACTGGGCTATGCCTCTTGTACACAGGCCGGGGACCCCATAGGTGCTTGATGATTGTCAGCAGGACAGCGATGCATTTCCTCTCCTCCCCTCAAAGACATAACGGGACCCTGACTTCAGACTCCTGGGAGCGAGCAGGGGCTGGAGATTCTGCCTAGCTCTGCAGGGTTTGGATTGTGAAATGTGGGAGTGGATAGAATCTGACCAGATAGAGACAGCGCCAGCAGCTCCCACCGGGAGAGTTCTGGGAGCTGCTATCTCTGGCTCAGACCAGTTGAGAGCAGCTCCTGGCAGCTGGCCCAGGAAGGCTTTAAAGGCAGGGGATTTTGTGTGTGTGGAGGGATTGCAGTTTTAATTCCCAGGCATGGGAAGCTCACTGCTGTGTGGCCAGTTGTGTGTGTGTGGGGGTGGCACTGGAGGGGAGACGACCGACCTTTTATGGACTGGAGATGTGGGCTGCCTTCCAGGCTACAGACCAGAGAGAAGAACCTGAGATTGCTTAGGCTGCTGAGACTGCTGCGGAAGCTTACGATACCGTTTCATTTCAACCAAAGGGCTCTTTAGAGAAGCTAGACTGGGCCTGCGTCTCCTTGGCCGGGTTGCAGGAGGATGGGAAGAGTAGTTACGGGGAGACGGTCAGTGCTCAACACTGCCTGCTGGGTTAGGGTTCCTTCCTGTACCTGGAGGAAAATGCCAGAGATTGCCCTGTGAATCTAGCGATTCTGACTGGGCTGAGGAACCGAATGAGAAAAGAAGCCTGCGGGGGGAAGAGTACTGACTCTGAGAGTCTGCGTCCTCACTTCTCCAAGAGAATTGATTTGTCTTAAGACTTAGGCAGCAGGGCGTGTGGTCCCAGCACTCAGGAGGCTGAGGCAGGAGGATTGCTGAGAGTTTAAGGCCAGTATGGGCTATATAGTGAGCTCAAGGCCAGCCTGAACTACATAGCAAGACTTTCTCAAAAAAAAAAAAAAAAAAAAGAGACCTAGGCAAGACAGGTGCTAACAGGGCCAGGGATTTAGCTCAGTGGCACAGCATCTCCTGGCAAGCGTGAGATCCTCAGTTCGATTCCTGGAACCCCCTACAGAAAAACAAAACAAAACAAAACAAAAAAACAGAAAAGAAAAGATAGGTGCTAGGGTATTTTTTTCTTTTTTAAAATTTTTTTGTGGGTACCAGGAATCAAACTCAGGACCTTGCATTTTGCCAGGCAGGTGCTTGTGCCGCTGAGGTATATCCCACACACTAGGGTACTCTATAATAATGTTTTCTATAATAATAACTGCTAACCCTGACCCACTACTAATTACGGATAGGCATTCTACTTAGTGCCTACTGCTGCTAGGCACAATTCTAAGCACTTTTTTTTTTTTTTTTTTACTTTGTAGCAGTACTTAGCGTCCAACAGAACCCACTAGTCCGCTAAACAATATCCTGACTGCAAAGCTGCTCTGTCGGTGGATTGATAATGACACAGCACAGCCATTACTCCCACGGCAACAGTACCCAGAAACTATCAGAGGAACACTGCACATGGAATCACTGGTTCTCGAGCAGGCATGCCTCAGCTTCCTCTGGAGTATGCTTTTCGGCAAGTCTGGTGTGCTCCAGGATGCCACCAACCCTGCGTGGCTCCTCCTCTAAGCGCTTAACATTCACTACTCAGTTAATTCTCACAATTCTACAAACTAAGAAGGATTACATCCATTTTATAGCTAGGGAATTGAGATTCAGGGAAGATAAAGAATCTACTTACAGTTGCTTTGTTTGTGAGCAGCAGGCCGGGGATTTGAACTTAGGTAGCTCTGGCTGAAGGTTTTGTTCTCAACTTTGCCCCAGGCAGGTTATGAGAGGTGGGTAGCACCCAGGGTTTGCTGTCTTCCTGATCTTTTCAGGGCAGTTCCCACAGGTTTCCAGCCTCCAGTGTAGAGCTGGCTATATCTCATTGAAACAGTGTCTGACAGCCTGGCGTCATGGTGCACGCCTGTAATCCCAGCACTCGGGAGGCTGAGGCAGGAGGCTCACAGGGAGTTCGGGGCCAGCCTGGGCTACATAATGAGGTCAAGGCTAGCCTGAACTGCACAGAAAGACCCTGTCTCAAACAACCAAAACAAACAAACAAACAAAACAACAACAGTGTCTGCTTTCAGGACCTAATCTGGGAAAATGAACCCTTTATACAGAGTCTTAAATTTGTTCAGTAGGCTAGAATGCCTCACTTGGAGCTCTGTAACACAAGTGTTCTGGTTAATTAGTTTTAATTATTCTATTTAATAGGAGCCATGATTTTTGCTTTGGGATAAATTTATGGGTACAAGAAGTTAGTCTCTTGAGGGCTGTTGCCGGGTTTCTACAATGTTGCTGCCCTGGAATCCTTGTTTCCAATCCTGGTTCTCCAATTTCACTCTTAGTTATAGTGGGGGAGGGAGAAGAAAGGAACTCCAAGGGGAAAGGCTGTTAAAGTCTTTCCTGAGTGGGAACTGGGCCTCCAAGGCCTGAGCCTCCGGGGCTGACCTGCAAGTTGGGTTGAGCCAAAGCTGAGGAGTCACTTTTCATTTCACCTCAGTTTACTCTAGAATCAATAAATAGTAAGGAGGACTTCTAGGAAATTTTTCTGTTTTGGTGCAAAATTTGGACTTTGCCAAGTGTGGTGGTGCACGCCTGTAATCCCAGAATTTGGGAGGCTGAGGCAGGAGGATTATCACAAGTTCAAGGCCAGCCTAGGCTATATAGTTAGTTCAAGGGCAGCCTAAACTATAAAGCAAGACCCTGTCTCAAAAAACAAAAACAAAAAAATTTGGACTTACACTCAAACATTTCCACAAAATACACGTTCATCATTTTCTAAATACTTTCCAAAGGACAAAGCTCCACAGTAGTCCCAGACAGGGCGTGGTTATCTCTTTCAGACATCTAACATGACATCTTTGAAAACTCCTCCCACCTGGGCCTCCTGCTTGCTAGGCAACTGTTTCACCACTGAGGCACACCGCCAAATCTAAACATTTTTATTTTTATTTTTTATTTTTTTATTTTTATTTTTTTTTGGTTTTTCTCCGGTACCAGGAACCAAACTCACGACCTTGTGCTTGCCAGGCAGGCACTTTTGCCGCTGAGCTAAATCCCCAGCCCAAATCTAAACATTTTCAAATCTAC